GAATCCTCAAGACCAAATTAAAACAGGAAGACCAAATAGCACATAACACCGAGAAATGGAGACAAACTGACATGAGAAGAATTAAAAACAACTGGATAGAACAAGAAAGGAAGGCCCAGTAGATAGTGGGCTTAAGAATGCTGGTCGGTGGAATATGCTCCATAAAGAGTGGCAAGAGTCAGTAAGTAAGTGTAAGTAATGGGACTGAGCAATGTGTATTGGCGACCTCTCCATAGGAAATCGAGCCTAAGATCGATCTCATGTGTGAACACTTAGTCTCAGGACCACTAAGTCCATAATAAATGTTGTACATGGCTCACTTTAAACATTTCATCATACCACATAACCATCTTTCATTGCTGGAACTTAAAAAACAAAATAGTCTCATGATCTGTATCATTGATACGTTTATGATATACACTATGAAAATCCTAATATCTCTGTAGCGTGGTGTCCAGTTGAGCTTGACTATGAACACCGCTACAAGACTACGTGCCAATAGACCAATTAGATTCCGGTAGGCCAAAAATCAGAAGGCAGATGATGGCTGTAGTCGAGATGTATTTGTTGGCGATCTCGTGGTATCGAAAGAATACCGAGATCGTGCCAAAGGAGTGCGAGCGTGGTTACTGAGCGTGACGGAATTCGTACAAGTTCAAAGTCAACGGGAGAGTAAGTAAGTATAATGGCTGTCATCAGCACAGTTAAACAAACGAGCACAGTAAAACAGTCACTGCTACATTTGGTTATAATAATAATAATTGTTTTCATCGAACCAATCGCGTTCTGTTGACAAAAGTAGGTTACTACATCTCTATAATAAAAAACCCGTTTTTGACTACACAAGAAAACATCATGTATTAGTTGTATGTCTAAGGGGTAAAGTGATAAGATTTAAATGTAAACCTAAGAAATAAGATATTGGTTTCCCTTCTTCTTTGTTACCATGATTACATGTACCATATACATACAGACGCACAGGCAACATATACATCCTGTACAGATTACCCCACAAACTTTTTAAGTGAAGACGGATAACGTCTAGTGGTGAAATCTAGGACACGTGATACTTCGTCCTATTTGAGAATCGTCAGTTGGGTGTACCTGCATCTTAACGCGCACCTTGAGTTCGATTGCTAGACATTATCCATCTTTGCTTAAAAGTACTTATTGCTATGACGTTGTATTCTATACATTTTGTCTCAATTTAATTAATGTAACAATTCACACAAATATAAATTAAAGAGAGATGATGATGATATTAAAATGTAATAAAATGAATGTTTAGTATTGTCCTATATTCCGACGCCAAATGAATGTTTATGATGGTCAGTTATCGATATATAACATTCTTACTACCTTCGTATACAATCATCGACTCAAATCGACTTAGTGAATAGGTCAAATACACGAATTTATTTTGAATGTGTATATTTCATATAGTCATCAATTTGAATAGACAATCAAAGAGACGGAGTGATGGTAATGAAGAGAAATGAAATAATGTGCGGTAGAGATGTGGAGTGACCCAATTCTCATTTAATCAAGCGAGGATTGATATTTCTAGTCAAACAAATCAAAAATCAAAGACATATAACGAACAGGGTAAGTAATTCATACACGAAGATACTCACTTACTTACGCCTGTTACTCCTCATGGAAGAGCGTTGGACGTTCACCAGCACTCTCCAGTCAACCCTGCCCTGGCCAATCATTTCAATTTCTTTCCCGTTACTATTCATCCTTTTCATGCCTGCTTCTAGTTCCCGAATTGATTTGTTCTTCGGTCCTCCTCTTTTCCTTTTTCTATAAGAATTTCAAGTTAGGGCTTGCCTCGAGATGCAGTTCGATGTTTTCCGTAATGTATGTTCTGTCCACATTCAACGTCTTTTCCTGACTTTCCCTTCACCTGGGATCTGGTTTGTTCTCTGCCACAGTAGGCTGTTACGTACGGTATCCAGCCAAGGAATGATCCGTAGTACCGTAATTTGGTATGAACAAGACTGGTACCTACGCAGTGAAGCGTTTTTATCTCAGTGTTGAACGTCTACTGAATCTTTCATCCGGTCCAACAACACTCTGTTGGAAACTTATCCTGATACTGACAATAATGCGATGGCTCTGGAGTTCCCACATTATCTCGGATATTCTTTTTTTAGTAACTTGATGAGGTGTCTTTCTTTCCAGTCCGTCGGCACTTGTTGTTCCTTCCTCCAAATCTTCTTTAATAGAAAATGAAGCATGTTTGTAGTTACTTCAACGTCTGACATTGGTGTTTCAGCTGGTATAAATCAAGTCCTGTTGCTTTTCCACTCTTGATTTGTCTGATGACCATCCTGATCTCTTCGATCGTTGGTGCAGTGACATTAATTGGAAAATTTGTGTGTGCAATCATGTATATACTAACAAAAAAATAGATAGTTTGCGTTTGTCACAAGTTCCATATTTGTGGTAGTTAATTAATAAAAATATACTTGAAAATCAATGTAAATGTTTACTGTCATCGAAACTGGACTCGGGTTGAATTAGTTTTCCAGCTGAGGGACTCATTGAAATTTGTTCGAGAGTCCTCTCTGAGGCTACTTTCGGTGTTAAGCCCGAATAAAGGAGAAGGTTTGGGCCTGGTGTTGGCAACTCTATGCTATAAAAACCTAACTCGCTAAAAACGTGAATGGAGAACACATTTATCCTATAGTCTATCGTTTAAAAGAAGAAAGCTTGACATCATATACAGTAGTACAAACTACAATTTAAACTTAATACATTATTTGCACAACTAAAAATTAGAGCGATCAAAATTCTTCAGTTGGTCGCTTCTATGCAACTTACTATTTCCCACTGAATCAGGTGTCCGATTATTTTACCGACTATTCTGTAGCCAACTTGTTAAACAACTTGAAACACATCCTAACCCCAGATATTGTAGATTTTATAGAATCATTAGTCAAATAGCGCCTCTTGTTTTTTTTTTATTTCACGTGCATACAGCCATTGCCAGGGAAGTCCTGTTCATGGCATTCTAGTGGCAATATTGTTGCTTACGAAATTAAGAGGAAGAAATGCGAATGTTCGGGGCTTTAAATGGCTTGGTGGATACGGAGGATCAATGTAGAGGATTTGGAAATCTCTGATTCCAAACTAATTTTGCATATGCATTCCAGGATCCTGAAGAAACAAATGACGTATGGACCAATTATATGTGACTGGTGACCATGGGACCGCATCTTCTTTTGTTGTTCCACTGATTTGTGGATTAGAACTTTAGGTCAAAGATCCGGGATTCGCCACCTAAGATAACCACTTGCTACGGTTTGGGGCACTCAGGCAGTATCCACGCTCTCACATAAAATGAATGATTTATGTGGCGCAAATCTATTTAGTGCCTCCTTGTTCCAATGTTTATGTGTTTAAATAAATAAATATAAATAAACGAAACAGATTCATCCATTTGGCGACGGAGAATTTTCGCACTACAGTTAGTGCTAGTTTGCAACAAATACCCTTAAATATCTAAATACAACCAATAACAATGTAGAAACCATGATGAAAAATTTATCTGTTTCCTTTTAAATAACTGAGAAAAACGAGTAGCCTATACGCATAAGAAGTTTTCTTGATTTGCTAATGGACCAACATTTGAAATACTTTAATAGATTCATAAAATATGTAAAATATTTTACAGCGGACCAGTCCTAAATAAGACGAAACGCGCGTCCTGGATTCCACTGCTAGTCACTTTTCATCTTTGCTTAAAAAGCTTGTGACTTAAGACTAAATTGCGGCAATCTTAACAGGACGCACATATGTCAACATGATACTGATCAAAGGGAAGATACATCATTTATGAATAAAATTGTCTAAGCTCTTCTTAAAAGTGTCTTCTGAGAGGGATATCGTCAGATCATCTCACAAATCTTTAAATATTTGAAAGACCATTTATGAGATAAATAAAACCTCACATAAATGTGCGGTCTTTTATATACACTTCGTTGAGGAATGCTTCTTGAATAATAATTACAGACCTCATTTAGATGGGAAGACATCAGCTACGCAGTTTGATGCACACCACAACTAGTTCAATGCTTATTTCTCTACAGGACAGCGATAATAGTCCTATGCGGTGAAATTGTTCATTTGTCCTATAATCCTATGTTTGAAATCTCCACATTTGTACCAAGTAATTGGCATCTAATGTAATGAGTTTCAAGATTTGGAAAAATGTGATTCAGATATAATCCGGCGAAAAGTTCAGTGGCCTACCGTGTTAGTCGATTCTTTCGTGATTAGTGTTGCTTTTTGCACTAACACTAGTACAGAACTAGGTTTATTATGTTTAACAGCAATATCTCAATATTGCCTGAACATTAAAGTAGCTTTTCTGCATCAGTTGTTTACTCAGTTTAATTGTTTGCATAAAACGTGAGGCGGAAGAAATTAGATCGAGATTCAGCTTTCATTACTTAATAGGCTTTTAACGTTGAGCTTTTAAGGTGACTATGTACATATCAATACTCAATGTTCTCCACAACGAGTTAGGTCAGCTGACACTCATGAAGGCAAAGCGAAAAAATTAAACAATGTCAGTGAACTCCACTCACCTAGGCATAGTTGCCTTAAGTATTCAGCCGTTTTCCTCCCACTAATTAGACTTGTGTGGAATAATTCCCTTCATTTGGTCATTTATTTATTGAGAAGAACTAGCTTACAGAGAATCACAAAACATCAGGAATTCAAATGTCACGAAAACCATTCACAAGCATATTTTCTCGTTATTCGAATTGATAGCGAATAACTAAAGCCAATTTTCCGTCATGTATAATGAGCACTAAGGTCAGTTAGAAACGAGAGGCAAGACGAGTAATAAATTCGATTGAGCTGAATGAACAAATGGACATATAAGTGACACTTAGAATAATGGCCACTTCATTCTACACATGTAGAGAATCCAATAGAAAGGTAAACTGAAAAGAGTATGTTGAGTGTAGTGATAATTAATAACATTTAAAGAGATTCTCCAGACTGTGTAGACAGTACCAGGAATACATACGTCCTTAGTTATTGAATATACAAGTCAAAACAAATATTGTTCTGTGTCCATTCTTCCTTTAAACTGTCTTTCCGGAGTATATTATAAATTAATTTGAATATTTTTGATTCCCTTAATCATCTCACTACACATGTCTCACATATTATTATTCGATTGCTAAGTATTTCAATATGATTTCTGAACCAAATTCTTTCATCACACTTCCTGTTGTCATCGTTTTTTCATGCATTGTCTGTTGTTCAAAAATTCTAAGGAAAAATAAGCGTTTGCCATCAAATCAACTTTTATGTGTCATCAACATTCATTTCAGTCATCAATTCGTTAGAGTTTGGAGATGGTCTTGTAGAACTGAGGTTTGCGCAGATAGGAATGTGCACAAACTCCGACTAGTAGAGAAACAGGAATACGAAACTTTCATTAGAATAAAACGTCATCATCGTTTGATGACGGACTACAGCATCACACTCAGTGTTAACCGATATGAAAATTCGTGAACTACGGCTCAAACGTCTGATTTAGAGTCAGTGTGTTTTCAATAGCCTGAGAATTCAGTAGACACAGTGAGCAGTCTGGAATTAAATGAGAAACTTCTTGAATATTGTTTTAGGTGTATATCAGAGTTTAATCATAAAATAGGCTTAAAGAAGAAGTGAAGCTTGAGAATGTCTAGACAAATTATGCAAAGGTTTTCAGATAATAGAAAAGTTGAGAGTATCCAGAGGCAATTGTGATCCTACTAATTTGTGGATAAGTGAATGAAGTAGGTTTTCTGATGTTATAACTCATATCTTCGACTCCGGAATCAACTTTATTTAGGGCTTTATAATTATTGACATGATTACTACTGATAAACGTTGAGATGATTCTACATTCGTTATTCATAATCCTAGCGGTGTCTGTATTTTAGGTGCTCAAATGAGTTGACAGAGAAGAGGAATTTCATTCTGTAATTTCGAGTCACTAATAATTGGGGAAAGCTATTGAGTGATGTCTTACGCCGTATGAGATTATCTAATTCGAATGAACAGTGCAGTTACTGTGAAGCTAATGTGAGTTTTCTCAGTTTAAATCAACGTTTATTTAGTTGCCACCAGTAATTATGATATTTATCTGTTGCAGTAATTCGCTAGACGTATTAGCTTTGTATATTTTCAACCATTGTGTGGCACTGAGGTATTATCATATCACAGCACTTAACACACGCCAATATCAACACTATAATCAAAGCATCGAAGTCTTGTGTGAAGGTTGTAGTGACATACTTTTGTCAACAGAACGCGATTGGTTCGATGAAAACAATTATTATTATAACCAATTGTACCAGTGACTGTTTTACTGTGTTCGTTTGTTTAACTGTGCTAATGACAGCCATTATACTTACTCTCCCGTTGACTTCGAACTTGTACGAATCCGGTTACGCTCAGTAACCACGCTTGTACTCCTTTGGCACGATCTCGGTATTCTTTCGATACCACGAGATCGCCAACAAATATATACGACTACTACCATCATCTGCCTTCTGATATTATGGCCTTTCGGGATCTTATTGGTTAATTGGCACGTAGTCTTGTAGCGGTGTTCATAGTCAAGCTCAACTCGACACCACGCTACATTTGGTGATCCAAATTTTGGAACACGCCTCAACCTCGGTCAAATCTTTCAAAGAAGGCAATTCGGTGAGTCTATTGTTTTATCTATCCACGTCTGTCATATATTTTCATATTAATTTTTAATATATATTTGACATGACGGATAACGATAAGAATAGTATTAATATAATAGACTCCGATGGACGCGTACCGAATCCTCGGTACTTTTTATTCGCGTGACGATAAATTCCACGCCTTATTCGAGAAATTCCCCAGATTAACTAAACCATTCGAGGAGATTTCATCGGTGACCAATCGTGTGGTACACCACATAGTCACCCGCGGACCACCAGTCACGGCAAGACCACGCCGACTGGCACCGGACAAATTAGCCTTCGCTAAACGTGAGTTTGACAATTTACTATCTGCTGGT